ATTTCTAGCAACAAAGGTAGTTATTTCATTGGGCAGGGGGGTGGCGCGGGGGGGGGGGGCGGTTGGCTCACCCCATCCTGCCAGGTAGAAGCCACTGCCATGAGGCCCTCCCCCCACCAGCAGGGGTCTCCTTTGACCTTCAACTTTCCCAGTGGCGGACCCAGCAGGGCACACCCCTGCCCCCCGAAGGCTGCCTAGGCCAACCCTCCGATCAGCCGATCAGCCACTAACAGCGTTCTCTCCCGCAGGCTAATCGATTCTGTCTGCCCCAGGGTTTTGTTCTGAGCTCACTGCATTCGGGAAGGAGGCCTGGGCCCCAGCTCAGTGGGCGGCCTTCATCAGCCTCATGCCCTCTGGGGCTCCCCACCTGTCCCGCCCAGGAGCCCAACTCCAGTCATGTTACCTTTTAAAAATCACTCTGCTCTAAGAATCCTAGAAACAGGGTACAGATAACAGGCAAACACTGTTAGATGATTAAAAAGGAAAAGCTGGAGAAAAATTCAGTGGTGGCATTCCGTGGTGGCAAACACGCTTGATTTTACCCCAGCTTCAAATTTGTTTAATTTTGCTGGTTGGTTCAAGCTGCAGTGATTCCATTTTTGTCCGTGTTGGCCTCAAGTTTTGCGTGTTTTCATTCTATTAGCAGTGATAGTCCCTTTACCTTCTCTCCTAATCAGACAGGTATAAATGCCAACTCCTCCAGCTTCCCCAACCCCTCCTTTCCCGTCCTGTGCACCGACAAGGACTTCCAGTGTTCTCGCCACCTCCCTCGGTTATCCAATGCTACGTGACAGGCCACTTAGGGGGCCCGAGCACCCCCCATCCCCACCCCCCCCACACACATGCCCCTCCAGGTGGTCCCTCTGCAGGGAGCTCCGGGCTCTGAAAGTGCAGAACGGAAGCTTCCAGGCCTTCCTCAGGCTTAGGCCGTGAAGGAGTGCAGCACCATTCCCTCAGCCTCAGCGCTGTGACCCACGTTCCCCTGCAGGTGGCGCCTGGGGCACACCGCTGCTGCCAAGGCCATGCAGGGCAGGGGCGGGCGTCCTGGCCCACGTGCCCAGACTCTGCGGGTTCTCTGTCTTTGACTCTGAGAGAGAGCTCAGTTTCTGGCCAAGCAGTTTCAATCGACGTGGGGAGATTTCTCCTCTCGCCCACACTAGGACATCAAAGCTGACTGCAAACCAGGTCAGACGAGGACCTGGACAGGGGCCTGGGAGCCTTGGGAGGGGAGCGTCCCAAATATACTCTGCCCCCAGGATTTCTCAATGGCCCCCCCACAGCTTGGGGTGCTCTGCCCTTGGGTTCCTTGTCACGGAGAACAGACTTAAGGGAGAAGCAGCCAGCTGGCTCAGGATAAGGACCACAGATCAACTGTTTTGAAACTAAAGCAATTATTTGAGAAAGAGATGCCCCACCCTGAAACGTTCTTGCTCAGATGCCTGCAAACACAGGACCTGGACCTGGGCCTGAGGGGGACTCGGGGCCACTGCAGAGCACCGCCCCGTTCACGGGACTCAGAAAGGCACCGGTTAGGGGGTGGGTGGGGAAGCTTTCCAGGAGGCACCAGCCACCTACCAGGGCCTTTGAGCAATTCCACGGGCCCAGGGGAAATACCAGTGGGGCGGGTGCTGCACAGGAATGTGGCACGTGTTTGCTGCTGCAGCCCAGCCCTGACCATGGCCCAAAGTCTGAGGATCTCATTGCTGGATCAGCTATAGGGGAGAACTGTGATGGTGCTGGTGATGGTGATGTGATGATAGTAATGGTGATGATAATGGTGGTGATGGTGATGGTGGTGATAATGATGGTGATGGTGATGGTGGTGGTGGTGGTGATGGTGATAGTGATGGTGGTGGTGGTGGTGATGGTGATGGTGGTGATAATGATGGTGATGGTGATGGTGTTGTCTGGGAGAGAAGCCTGGTTGGCTCATGCATCCCACTCTGCCCTGGGCCTAGGATGGGTGCTAACACATGGTAATGGGTGCTAATCAAGCCCTAGTTCTCAAGGGCCTCATCTTGTCCTCTCCCTCCCAGATGAGACCTGCTGTGAGGTGGTGTAGGTCCAAGCAAGAGGGCCCATCTTGGCCTTCACACCTGTGGCCTCTGGGTAGATCCATGGTCTCTGACCCATGGCTCTGGCCCTTGGACCAGGCAGCTTTGGTTCCATCTCAGAAGCACCTGGTTGGGCTGCAAATGACCAGCCCACTGGGCCAGCCCAGGCGAGCTCCAGTAAGAGGAAGTGGGAACAGGCCCAGGTATGTGAGGGAGGGGGCTACCGGGGTGGGAGACACCAGCCACCTAGCCAGGTGACTGTGGCAGCTTTCGTTCTAGCCATGGGGAGTTCCCATGGGTCTCATGTTGTAGGTGAGACAGAATGAGAGATGACAAAGGCATAATTATGTACCAGTTGAAAGAACAGTGCTGGACAGGGCTCAGCAGGCTCTCCTGTAGCTTCAGGGGTGAGGAGGTGGGCCTTGAGAGCTGGGACTTGGAGAAGGTTTCCCGAAATACTAGAGGGGTCAGGCTAGTGAGGCACCTCCAAGGACCAGCACAGAGACCAGTCCCCTGAAGGGAGGTGGACACATAGGTCACCCCTGCTTAAAGCATTGCTGCTGCCCCTCCTGCTGGCTCATGGTAACGCAACTCAGCTCCAGAGGTGGTTCTGGGTGGTTTCCTTTCTCCCTCCATGCCACCACCCTGCCCATCTAACCAGTGCTTGGGGCTGGCTAGGCCAAGGGCCCGGTGCTAGGTAGGCCTGGCGGTGGCTATGGTGCCCACAGCAGGGTGTGAAGGCTTTAGGAGCGAAGTCCAAAGGCCTGGGGAGAGGCTCCTGGCCCTGTTTCCCCTCAGCCTGGGGTCATTCTGCAGCCCCTCCCTAGTCCCATTGGGCAGCCACCCACGGCTCTAGGTTCTGGGAGTGTTCTTTCCAGGGACCAGCACACGGTCACTTACCGCCATGCACAGGGCTGGCCCTTGAGGGGGACACAAGAGGAGGGAGCACTGGATCAGAAAGGAAGGGGCATATGGGGGTCAGGACCCCTGGGCTGACGAGGTTCCTGCAAAGAACACCGGCACTTTCATCAGGGGCTCTGGAAGCTCCTAGCGCCTTCTTGAAACAAGAGTGGGGTAGGGGAGCCAGTAGGGAGCAGATGGGTGGGCAGGTCTGCCAGGCAGGGCCCCAAACAGCCACCTTTAAACTTCAAATCCACCTGCTGTCTCTTTTAAAGTTTCTACCTTGTAGAGACGGATTTGTAAAATGGCTTCCAAGTTCACTTAAAAAGTACATAACACATGGGGCTGAGGCAGGACACACTTCTCACTCGCCCTCCCCCCTCTCAGCTCTGTGTCCCCACACCCACTGTCCCATCAGGCTCCCCTCCAGGCTGTCGTCAAATGTATCTGCCCCACCTACCTCCTCCATGAACACCCGGGAGCCCCCTTCCTACAACACTGGGTACCTTTCAGAGGGTCCCCTTCTGTGCACCCCCCCACTTTAGCCCCGTGTCCAGCTGCCCACACTGTCATGTGGGGCCCTTTCCCTCTGGGTGGACGTCTGCTCAAGCACCACCCCTCCCGGGAACGCTTTCCTAACACCCCCATCCACACACAGCTCCCCTGTGCACACATTGACACACCCCTACCCATGATATCCCTACCAGCCCGGGGCTGACTCAAACCCTGGCTCCCTGGTCCACGGTGTCCAGGAAAGACAGTGCGCAGCAGGCAGTGGACAGCCTCTGGCCAGTCTCCCTTCCCAGTGCCAGCAGGGGTCCCTGTTGCCTGGCCTTTTTGCTCCAATGTCAGCCCCACCCAGGTGGGAGTGGGGACTGCAAAGGCCTGTGGGTGCAGACAGTAGGCAGGCCCCTCTGGGGGCTGAGCTGTCACAGGGAGGGGTTGGCTGACCATGGAGAGGTGGTGGACTCAGATACCTGAGCCCCTCTGCTCTCCTACACCAGCGCTAGGACCTCTCCTAGGGCTGACTGATGCTCCTTGGGCCTCATTCTCCAACCCTTACAATTGGGGCGGTGAGGCACTGCGAGGTCCCCGTGGCCTTCCGTGGCTCCGCCCCCGGCTCCTCTAGGACGGCTCTGCGCCCCGCGGTCGCCTGAGGGCGAGCACGAGCAGAGCCAGGTTGCCCTAGGGTCCGTGGAGGCGCCAGGGGTGGCGGCCATGACGCAGGGCGGGGCCGGGCGGGGCCTGGTGCGGGGCTCGGAGGGGCGGGGTCTGGCGGCGGGCGGCGTCCGGGTCGTCAGGACAACCGGCTGCCGGCCAGTCTCCGCTGCCCAGTCAGGCTCAGCAAGCCCAGCTTAGGGGGCGGGCCGGGTTCCGGGCAAGGTCACTGCAACAGGCTGGGCTCCGAGCGCCAGTGCTCGGTAAAGGCGAGAGCTTTAACTGGGCGGAAGGCGCGCGGGCGCAGGACGCAGTTAGGGGTACGGTGTGCGCTCCGCGCCTCCACCGCCCCACTCCCCATAGCCGGCCGGTTGCGCGCGCCGGGAAGCCCCTCTCTCCCTCGCAACGTTCCTTCATACTGTGAACTGGCCGCGTGGCCCTCCGGCCGCTCCGGCCGCTCCGGCCGCGGTGGAGTAGCTCGGAAGCCACAGTTTCCGGGCGATCCAGGCGGCAGGGTCGCGACTGAGACTTGCAGACTGGATCACCCTCCCTTACCCTGGTGCGAGCCATCCCAGGCGCACCGGGAACCCAGAGCCCGGCGCACATCCCGTCGTAACCCAGGAGGGTGCCTAGGGCGCGGGGGTCGCCAAATGTCCCCTAGGAGCCAGGGAGAGACTGGGCCGCTGCGGCGCTCCTCCTGGTGTCCCTTCGGCGCCCCGCGTCTTCTTGGCCCGCCCGCCCGGCTTCCTGCTCGCTCCGCCGGGACTTCCTCCCCGCAGTGCAGGGTGGCCACTGGGCGCCAGACCCGGAGGCGGGGGACCGGACTACAGGGATTGGGGGGCGGAAAGGAGAGGAGGAGACCTGGGTCGGGAGGGGAGGCGCCCCGGAAGGCCCCGGGCAGGGGTGGGGGAGGGGCCCTGGAGCAGGGCCGGGGAATGTCTCCGGCCGCCCCTCGGCTCCAGCTCCCGGACCCTTTCGTCGGACGCTCGCGGCCAGCGTACTCGGGGCCGCGCGCAAACCCTGCCCCATCCCGGGAGCTGCGCAGTGCGTTCACGCCCACCCAGCTCCGGAGGCAGCCGCCCCGCGTGCGTCTCTGGGAGCCGGGTTCCGGGACAGGGGCGCCGGCGGGTGTCCCGTGCCCTCCGCGCCCCCGGCCCGCGCGCGGTGGCCGGCCGAGCGGGGCTTTGTGACGTCAGGCGGCCGGCGGCGTCACGCGCGGGCTGACCCGGCGGCGGCGGCGGCGGCGGCGGCGGCGGCGGCGGCGGCGGCGGGCGGGGCGGCCGGGACGCGGGAGCATGGAGCCGCGCGCCGGCTGCCGGCTGCCCGTGCGGGTGGAGCAGGTCGTCAATGGCGCGCTGCTGGTCACTGTGAGCTGCGGGCAGCGCAGCTTCGCCGGGATCCTGCTGGACTGCACGAAAAAGTGAGCGCGGCGGGGGGCGCGGGCCCTGGACACCCCAGGAATTCCCTCGAGACTCCCCACCCCGCGCCCAGAGCCGGACCCGGGTCCAGGGCAGCGCTGGCGCCTGCTTTCGGTTTCCCCAGCCCGGGCTTCGGGCCGCCGTCACTCTGGGGCGAAAGTGGCTCCCAAAGTCCTTGCTACTTTTCGGGCGGGGGGCGGGTGGGGCCTGGGCGTGGGGCGTGGGGCGTGGGGCGTGGAGCTGAGTCCCCGCGCCCGGGCCGGAACTCCGCGCGTCTGCCGTAATTAACGCACTTTTCTTTGTTAGACGCACTGTTGAATTCAGCTGTTTTGAGAATTGTCATCCGTTGGGGGTGGGGGGAGTGGGTTCAGATGTGCAGGACTTGCCTTGTCAGTTACTCACAACCGCTGCTCCCCTGGCTGATGTCACGGCGCCAAGGCGAGCGACTGAGGCTGAGGTTTAGTTTGGTGACCAGCAGTCAGGTCCAGGGTGCCATTTACAAACACCCTGGGGGTGGGGAGGGGAGCCCCCCGCGGTGCAGGAGTGAAGATACAAGTTGTGCTAGTTTCTCCGGAGCTGGGTCCCCCGCAGGCCTGGGGCAGGGCCTTGCGGAGACACCCGCACCTGTGCGCTGCAGGGCCTCCTGCTGCAGGAGTCTCCTGGATACAGGGTCACATGGTGGTGCGCTGTCGGCAGATCAGTGATGAGGCATGCACCAGGCACTGAGGTCTGGGCGCTCCTGCTGGGCCTTATTTCGAGTGTGGGCCCAGGAGCCGTTTTCCTCACAGTGGCGGCCGGACTTTTCCTTGGGTGGAGCGGGTTTTGTTCCGGTGGGGGGGAGGTGACTGCCACTCTCCCACAGTCACCCTGCTGGCATTATCTCTCATTAGATGTGCCAGAAGCCATTTATGCACGAGTCACGTGACTTAACATAAGGCCTCCCGGTGACTATTGTCTTGCTCGGAGTTGGCTACCAGGGAGAGCTCAGTGGGACCAAGTGACACCTGGGGGCTGCAGCATGGCCACCTGCAAGCTGCCAAGCCTGTGCCCTGGGGCGTCCCCTGCCACGCATGGCCACCACTTCCTCCCTCAGGCAGGGCTGCAGGCCTGACCCGTCCCTGCTCCTGGGTCGGTGCAGGGCTGCACGGCCTTGCCTCCTTGGAGAGGGGCACTTGCAGCAAAGGCTCCCCCACCCCATTACTGTAGCTGGGCTTCCTGAGTGGATCAGGAAGGCTCTGGGGGCCACCCTGACTCATAGCTGGGGATGTCTGCAGAGGCGGCAGGCACCCTCCCTGAGGCCTGTGGCTAACTTGGGTTGTAGATCCACACTTCCCCACCCCCTTCCCCACTGACTCTGGGAAGGAAGCGGGCCCTGCTGGGATCTGGCAGCTGTAGGACATGTGGGCGTCAACCCTCCTGCGGCCACGTTGGGCTGTAACCAGAGCTGCCCACAGAACCAGGAGCTGGGCCTCAGTGGACACAGCTCTGCTCCGCGGGGACTCTTTCTGACTTGCGTTGCCCCCTGCCCCGCCCTGTCCTTGTGGAGGATCTGAAGGTGAACCTGGCCTCCTGGCCCCTCAGCCCTCCGAGGCTTGGTCCTAGATCAGTGCCACTGCTCTGGCTCCTGCCCGCCCTGGCCTCCTCTGCCATCTCCTGGTTCACCTGATTCCACTCCTCTGCCCATAATATTACGATTGCTGTTATGATGGCATGCTCGTGTTTACAGCCTACTTGTCGGGCAGGGTCCAGAGGCAGCTGACACCCTGGCCTGGGTGATTCAGACAGTGGGGGTCTGGCCTTGAGCCTCAGCGTCCACAGCACCCGCCTGACTTCCCCGGTGCCACTTTCTTCTCAGTGTCAGTATGTGACGGTGGCAGGACTGGGTGTGAGCACTGATGAGCATGCATCCCTGATGACTGCCATGTATTGGCAGCGTCCTGGGTTCCCGTGCAGACCTGGGGGCCTGGGAGCCCTGTGCAGTAGCTAACCCGAGTGTCTGCTGGAATGGAGCCGTCCCCTGGGAGGGGCCATTCCCACAGATTCCTGGTGTCCCTCCTGTAGGGGGGCCCAGCAACCAGTGTTCTTGGTTAGCCTTTGGGAGGTGGGGTCCCTCCCTTAGGGCCCTGGAAGGTTGGTTCTCTTTCCTGAAGGTTGGCAGAGGGGAGAGGAGCGGGCAGGCCAGGTCTCAGCAGGTGCAGGTGCAGAGGTGGGCCGCGTGCGGAGCGCCTCCACCTGTCCATCGTCCATCTGAGTTTGAAATGTGCTGCCCAGCTGCCGTGTGAATTTAACCAAGATCCCCAGGGGCTCAGAGTGCCCACCAGCTCATGGGTTTACATACATTCATTGTGCACCTACTGTGTGCCAGGAAGTGGGCTGTCCCAGGCAGACTACCGAGAACGGTCCTCCCAGTGTCTCCATAGGCACAGTAAGGATGTAGATGGCCCCGACCTGCCTTGCTCCGACTCTCCAGGCTGGGTGCAGGGTGGTGTGGGCATTTTGTGGGTAGCTTGGGAGTACACCTCTAGTTGAGGATCTCGAGTGGGGTGGCCCTGGCTGAGGGGTGGCCAAGGACAGCAGAGGCTCAGAGTGGTGAAGGGATGGTCCCATAGACAGTGGGTTTGAGGGCCAGCTGCTTGCCAGGCCTGGCCAGCCCAGAGCCTCCTCCTTGACCTCCAAGCCGGTGTTGCTCAAACTTCCCCAGGGTGCCATTACCATGCCAGACTCTGGGGCCCTCTGCTGGAAAGGTTGGGGTTCAGGCCTTTGTGACCCACACTCTACCCTAGCAGGTTGGGACCCAGGCTTCTGGAGACTCAACCAGCCAAAAGTCCCTGGGTAGGAGAGCACCCACTCCATGCTGGGCACACCCACTGTCCAGAATGGAGACTTGGCCACTGCTGGCTGCTCCTGAGACATTCACTGGACAGATTCCTGGTCCAGAGCCCACGGCGCACACCCTCCCTGCCCTGGGGAGCTCGATGGACTGAGAGTGAGGTGTCCCGTGTGTGATAGGGTGGCATCACCTACAGCCAATGGGCAGGTGCCACTTAAGGGGACCTGGCTCTAGTAGCTGGTCTCTGGAGCTTGTGCCAGCAGGTGACAAGGGGTGTGGGCTGGGGCCTAGCCTCTTGCTGCGGAGGAGTCCTCAGGGGCTGAGAGAGGGATGTAGTCAGCTGAGTTTTCTTGAAATGATGCTGATGGTTATTAAACCTTTTAGTCCAGGACTCTGGGGCCAGCTATGACCACCTGGTCCTATGGCTGTCCCTGGTGACCCTGGGGGAAGGGTGGGCTCCCCTGTGTGGCCCTGGATGAGGGGATACTCTGGTGTCTAGACTGTGACTTCCCCTGCAACCTGTTTTCCCCGATTTCCTGAACAGAGGGGGCCCCAGAGGCCCCCATGCTACAGCAGGCCTGGTATCTATCCCCTGTGGGGCACTGCCGGCCTGGCCAGAGCTTCTGTCCTGGGCACAGGACAGTGTGGGCACAGCCCTGTGGGAAGGGCCGGGCCCTGTGGGTGAGCCCTAATTCACAGTGGTGCCGTGCCTGGTGCCCCAGGGCCCAGTAAAGGTCTTCCTACTGGGGCCAGGCTGCTGAGGCCCTTCGGGGGAGAGTGGCCTGGAGACAGCTGAGCTGGGGTGTGAGCACAGGCCCGCCTGGCTCTCTGGCCTCCCTGAGCCTCACTCCCCTGGCCATAAACTAGGCTGGCGGTGATGACGTGCACCTCATGGGGCTTTTGAAAGGGTTTGGGAGCTGGATCCCAGCAGCCCGGGGCACCCACTCTGGGATCCGCAGCCAGGGACTGAGCCGTCCTGCCCCACCGGCCGCTGTTTACCCACCAGGCAGTGGTGGGTGTGGCCTGGGCAGGGCAGCAGCTCCGGGAAGGAAGTATGGCTGCTTGTCATGCCAAAGTCACGGGGCCTTCCCTGTCGGCAGCGGGGCCTTCCACAGGGCTGCACTGCTGTCTGGAAGGCTCCCCCCAACCCCCGGCCACAGCTCTGGGCTGAGGGGCACGCTCACCAGGGCGGGCAGGGGCACGTCTGTTCCCTGGCCCTGGGCACCATGCACCGAAGCTGCTTCCCAATTTGATGAGCCAGGCAGGGAGGGTTCGGCTGCCACTCTGGCCTGTGCCTGGTGGGTGCAGGCCAGCCCACCCAGGGGCCCACACTGAGGGCTCTGGCTCGGTCTAGGTCTCTGGCAAAGAGCCCTGTATCCATCCTAAACATGCAAGGTCCCCCCTGAGGGGCATGTACCAAAAATGGGGGGCAAAGCCTCCCTGGACCAAAGCTGTGAGAACTTCAGAGATGGGTCCACTTGCCCTACACCCCACTCCGCAGTCTGTATGTGGTGAGAGATCACCCAGGAGCCTTGCGCCCTGGACAGGTTGGCCCGGGGCGCAGTCTGTGCGTGGATCCTGCTGAGGAGGGCTGCTCCAGCACAGGCAGGTGGTGTGGGGGGCAGGCCGGGGGCTGGGGGTAGGGAGAAAGTGGAGGCCAAGGAGCAGGTGTGGGCAGGGTCTGAGTGGGGTGACAGCACAGGGGCCTGGGACGGCATAGTGAAGATGCAGATGAAGAGGAGGGTGTCGGAGTGGACCCCAGTTCATGGTCTGAATGCCTGTAAAAGGTGGGGCAGGAAGTGGGCTGTGGGGGCGGCCTTGGGAACAACCCTCCAATTCAGAGGTGTGTGGTGGACCCCTGGTCTGCGGATCCCCCAGACTGTGGACCCCCTGGATTGATAGGGAAAGTAAGGAAATTGAAAGTGTGTTTTGATTCCCAGGCTTTACCAGTGGTCTTGCATTAGACACAGACTGGGCAGTGTTCAGAGGGCAGGCGTGCCCTCCACAGTTCATGTCCTCAGCATGGTGACAGGAGGGACCCTGGGGGAGGGGGCAGCCCCGGGGTCACGCACTCGGCCTGTTTCCCGCGGCCTTGTCATGGCTCTGCGTTCCGTGTTTCTGGTGTAGCCTGCCCCTCGCTCCTGGCCTGTTCAGGTCCCCGTCTGAGGGTCGGGTGAGCCACCAGACATGCAGGGAATGGTGACGTGGTCAGCCCCTGTTAGCACCCCTGGGTTCGGGAGATCAGTCAGTGGAGAGCATCTGTAGATTGGAAAGCAGCAAAGTCATTTATCTTTCCTTCTCCCTGATTAAATTCGGAAAGGAAGGTAAAGATGCCACGTTCCAAACCTGGTTACTTAGAACTTGGCTCTAAAAGTCTATTTTTGTGCTTCACAATAACAGCTTTGAGCTAAAGCCGTCTTTAAATTAAGTCACATTTGTTTCAAAGTGAGGTGTGTTCACGGGGAGGGGAGGTGTGGACTCTTGGGGCTTGTTTTTCACTGTTGGAAACAGCGGTTCTCAACCTGTGGGTGGCGACCCCTTTGGCGGTCGAACGACGCTTTCCCAGGGGTCGCCTAAGACCATCCTGCATATCAGATATTTACATGACGATTCATAACAGTAGCAACATGACAGTTATGAAGTAGCAACGAAAATAATTTTATGGTTGGGTCACAGCATGAGGAGCTGTTTTTAAAGGGCCAGAAGGTTGAGAACCACGGGTTTGAAACAGTGTAGGTGTATCCAGGCTGTACTGCAAGTGGCTCTGAATCAGATGCGACTCCCGACCATATCACAGCTCACGGGCCTCGAGAATGGGGTGACAGTCGGGCCTGGGGGTGACCCTGTGCTCTAGGAGGCACACAGACTGGGCCCGGCTCCGTCCCAGATCCTCGGGCACTGGGTCCGAGGGGATCTCCAGCGTTGATCCCACGCTCCCCCTGGTTGCCAGGAACTGAGATGTGGGCGCTCAGTGGCCTGGATGCTGGTCCTGTGACTTACGAGCTCACACCGTCATCTGGGAGGCAGAGGGCCCCCAGCACACGGGTGGGAGTCCCAGGTGAAGGTGTGAGCACCCAATCTGGCGGCGCCTGGGAGTGGGGGGTGGGGGGCCCATCACCATCCTGATTGTCCTTTCTGTCTCCCCTGCCAGGTCCGGCCTCTTCGGCCTGCCCCCCTCCACTCCACTGCCCCAGGCCGAGGACACCCCTGTCAATGGCTGCCAGGGCCCAGCCGCCACAGAGGGGGACCCAGAGGCAATGCAGCTGGGAACAGGCCCCCCGCCGCCTTCCTGCCCTGAGCCGCCCCCGCCCCTGGTGCCGCCGCTGCCCGCTGGAAGCCTGCCCCCCTTCCCGCCATATTTTGAAGGCGCCCCCTTCCCGCCCCCACTCTGGCTGAGGAACACCTACCAGCAGTGGGTGCCGCAGCCACCACCCCGGACAATCAAGAGGACAAAGAGGCGCCTGTCCCGCAACCGTGACCCTGGCCGGCTGGCCCTGAGCCCCATCTGCCTGCGGCCGCGGCGGGTCCTCTGCGAGAAGTGCAAGAGCACCCTGAGCCCCCCGGAGGCTGGCCCCGCGCCCCCGGCCACCCCCCGGCCTCGCAGGAGGCTGGGCAGTGGCTCCGACCCAGACAGGGAGCTCCGCAAACACGAGGACCCAGATGGCGGGGGTGAAACCGCGGCCTCGGCCACCACCAGGAGAAGCAAGAGGGAGAGGCGGGAGGAGGACCAGGCTCGGGTCCCACGGAGCCCGGCCATCAAGATCTCCTACAGCACACCTCAGGGCAAGGGCGAGGTGGTGGAGATCCCGTCCCGCGTGCACGGCTCCCTGGAGCCCTTCTGCCCCCCGCAGGCCCTGCACGGCGCCCCGGACCCCGAGGCGGCTCGGGACAGGCCACCTGACGGGCCCTCCGCCTCCATCCCGAAGCTGAAGCTGACACGGCCCATGCCCCCCAGTGCTGACCTGCCGCCCCCCAAGATCCGCCTGAAGCCCCACCGCCTCGGCGCTGGTGAGCAGGAGCCTGTCTATAGGGCTGAGCTGGTGGAGGAGCTCAACGACCGTGGGCAAGGTGCCCAGGCCAGCTCCCCTGCCCACCCTGCCTCTGGCTCTGCCCACGGTGCCCTGGCGGACTTGTCTTCGGGAAGTTCTGGGGAGGATGACGACTTCAAAACGTGTCCCCAGGGTAAACACGGGCGGGACAGCCTGGCCTTTCTCGCCAGCTGCTCTGGGAGCAGGACAGACTACGCCCGGGAGTCTCTGTGGAGCAGCGACAGCCTGGACGAGTCCAAATCGTCCAGCTCAGAAGTCACATCGCCAGACACATGTGACCTCTCCTCTGGCGATGGTGTGTCCGTGCCGTCCACCTCCAAGCGCGCGGGGCAGACGGTTCCGCCCCTGACGGTCAGGCTGCACACGCAGAGCATCTCCAAGTGCGTGACCGAGGATGGAAGGACCGTGGCCGTAGGGGACATCGTGTGGGGTAAGATTCATGGTTTCCCTTGGTGGCCAGCACGTGTCCTTGACATCAATCTTAGCCAGAAGGAGGACGGGGAGCCCTCTTGGCAAGAAGCGAAAGTCTCGTGGTTTGGTTCTCCAACGACATCATTCTTGTCCATTTCCAAACTCTCCCCTTTCTCTGAATTTTTCAAACTGAGATTTAACCGTAAGAAGAAGGGGATGTATCGGAAAGCTATAACAGAGGCCGCCAATGCCGCGCGACACGTGGCCCCGGAAATCAGGGAGCTCTTAACCCAGTTTGAAACATGACTGGGGCTCCCTGGCCAGGTGAGTGTGTGCGCGGACGGCGGCCTCCTTCCTGGCCATCCCCTGCTGGCATCTGGGTTGCTGTCCCTCTGCTCTGGGCCCGGCAGGGGGTGGGGAGGTCTCCTCCCCATCTGCCTCGCTGCTCCGAAGGGGGCCGTCCGGAAAGTCGTCCTGCGAGCTGGCAGCGTCACCCGGCTCTGCAGAGCACAGGAGACGTGCTATAGACGTAGCCGCCGGCAGCCGCTTGTTCAAAGAACGGAGCTCGTTTGTGTTTTGTGACCATTTTTCAAAATGCCCGTAAAGGGGTTCCTCCCTCTGTCAGCCTTTGGCAGAAAGGGTGCATTTTTTAAAGGTGACGGTTTTGACTGATGGGGGAGTGCAGGGAGGGGTTCCTCTTCTGTCACCGTTCTGAGGGAACACGCCTTCCTGTGCCCTCCTGCTCCCCTGCAGGTCAGGGGCCCTTCTGGGGTCTCCGCTTGGCAGGAAGGAGCAAGGTCATCGAGCTGCCTACCCTCAGATGTAGTCCCACCCTTCCACCTGGTGCCAGGGTAGACGCTCTTCCGTCTGCAGGTGGCTGGGTGCTCCAGGCTTCTGGAGTGACTCTGGAGCCTGTCTCCAGGCGGGGTCTCACCCTCCATCTCTCCCTTCAGGAAAACATTGCAGGCTCTCTGGTCACGTACCTTAGAGACTCTATGAGCTGGGGACTGTCACCATGTGGGGTTGGAGATGTCACCAAGGGCATGTCTGTGGTCATCCCGTGGGGTATCGGGACATGGCCAAGGGGCTGAGGCCACCTGCCACGAGCCACCCGTGGGCCCCGAGATGCTGGGCGTGTCCCCATCTGATGGCTTCCACCAGCTGGCGCCTGGGTGACGGGGTGTGTCCAGGGACCACTGGCACTGCTGAGGACAAGAGGATTCCTCTACCCCAGCAGGACTTCTTCCTCGGTCTTCGTGACCTTCAGATGACTTTGTCTGGACTGGCCTGCCTGCTCACCTATCTATGCCACAGTTTCCCAGGTGATGAGCCATCAGGCCTCAGCAGGGCCAGCTAATGTATGGCTGGGGAAGGAGTTTGTGGGGCACCTGGCAGAGCTCACTGCTGCACCTCCTGCAGCGGGGATCCCAGGGTAGAAGCCATGTTGAGGGGCTTGTCCCCACCCTGTCTCCCCACCTGCTTCTTGCATCAGGCTGATGACCACCTTGAATTGCTCTCAGGAGTCTGGGCACAAACCTCTCCTCTCCCGACCCAGGCACATCTCCCGCCAGTTCTGGGCCTTCCTGTCGGGTGTGGGCGTGGCCTCGGCCTGGCAACATTGAGCCAGCGATGGTCTCATGTGATGGCCCCCCATGGGGGAGGGTGGCAGGCTTGATTGAGGAGGAGGGTTCCAGGTAAAGGTCAGATGCCCTCCAGTCAGCTTCCTAGGACTTCTGCCTGCTGTGGCTTGGCTCAGCGGGGATCCCTGGGCTGCGTCCACATCCTGTTGGCCTGGGGATCATCCCCAGGATCTTGTCTGTCTCTATGCTCTTTGCGTCCCCCAACCCACCCCTCTGCTCACACAACGTCCATCCTGCTTTTGGCCTGGTCTGGAGGCCGGCGTGGAGGTGGGCCCAAGCTGTCATTGAGGGAGTGGTGAGTAGGTCAGTCCTGAGTGACTCAGGCCCCAGGTCACGGTGAGTAGTTACAGGGGATGGTGAGTCCACGCAGCATCAGCCCAAGTGCAGCTCTTGGCCCTGGAACCCTGCTCCGGGAGCCCCCGTGCTGGGAGAATGCCACCCGGTGGGTTCAGGGCTGGCTGCTAGTCAGGAAGCAGAAGGAAGAATCTTGCCGGGCGGGTTTGCCTGCTGAGGGCCTGTGCCCACAAACAGGCCTCTTCTGAGACTCATTCTGGGCTCTCAATTCTGAGGCCGTGCCCATGCCCCCCAGCAGTGTGCACAGCTCTGGGAGCCTGGCCTGCTGGGGTTCTTTTAGCCCCAAAGCACAAAGTCCCCTGTTGGAGGATTAGGCTGTGAGTGGAGGTCCTCACCAGGCGGCTGACTTGCTGTCATTCCTGAGCCTCGGTTTCCCTCTCTGCGTGGGGTCAGTGGCCTCCTGGCGGGAAGTTTGTTTTGAAGTATCAGCAGTGCTATTTGCAGGGGCAGCCCCTCTGGCCAGCTCTTGAAGGCCAGCTCTTGATGGGAACCCCTTTTGCTGGGGAAGGCGGGCTCCCATGGGCAAGGCGAGGGCCAGGAACCCTGGTGCCGCCCTGAACTGGCAGGTGAAATGCCATTCAGTGTCCCAGCCCCTAGGGCCAGTAGGAAATTTACAGGTTCTGTGTGAGCTGGGCGGGCCACAGGGCTGCCGTCCAGCCTCCCATGGAACCCAGTGCCCAGTTCCTTTCTTTCCTGGCCCAGCGTCGGGGCTGCTGGTGGGCAGGGGGCTTTCTCGGGCTCACACAGAGCCTCCCTGGCCTGCCTTCGGGTGGGCAGCTCTGAGCGCTGCATTTTCTACTTCTCTGAGCAAAAGGCGTCTTTGGGGCTGGCTCATCCTCTGCATTGCCTTCCTGTGGCCAGTCACAAGTGAGCACACGCTGGGCATCTAGAAACAGCGGAAAGTCATTCTCATGGTTCTGGAGGCCAGAAGCCCCAAATCAGTGTGTCGGCTGGACTGTGCTTCCTGCAGAGGCTTGCGGGGGGGCGGGGGGCATTCTTCCAGCTCCTGGGGGGTTCCAGGCGTTCCTGGGCTGCTGGCCACGTCACCCCAATCCTGGCCTCTCCTCCTCTGCAGGGTTGAGACTCTCCTATAAGGACACTGGGACGGCATTTGTAGGCCACCTGAGTCACCGCAGTCTTTAACTCCTGCAGCACCTTCACCGTTGAAGGTCGCATTCTGGTTCCAGTTTGAGACCTGAGGTCCCTGGGGCACACACACCTACTGCGCCCTGCCGTCCACTCTGCAGCTCCGTCGGGGGCTGGGGCGCAGCTCAGCCCCAGCCTCTTTGACAGACAGCTGCCTGGGCCCAGGGAGGGCTCAGTGGTGGTGAAGTGGACAGGTTGTGTGCTGAGAGAGGGACCCGTTGTTCCGGAAGGATCGGGGGCCCTGCAGGTTGGCTGTGCACCCCAGATGTGGGTCCTCCGGCGTCATCATGGCGGTTTCTGCTGGGAATGTCCGATACGGATCAGAAACATCAACCGGGAACCCGGCAGTGTTACTGGCGGGGCCGTCACTCCTGATGGGCAGTGACAGATTCTGTGTGAATGTGGTGCCTCTGGTCAGACGAGGACAAAAGCGCCCAGATCCGGTCTCCAGGTTTTGACTTTTTTGATGTGTTTGTTCCTTAAGCCGCGTGCCCCACACTAGCTCTCCTCTTTCTTCCAACTCCGAATACAAATGTATTTCTGCCTCTGAAGACGGTTTCCAGCTGACATCCACATTGCTTCCAGGGGATTCAGGTCCTCTGGGAGGTTGTAATTATTTTGTTCCAGAAGGAAACCCAAGCCTGTAATTCCGAGCCTGCTGCGGGGGCTCAGGCCCTGTCCCACCTGCGGCTCCTGACACCGTCCTGCCGCCTCCTCCAGCCTCAGGGAGGTCTGGGCGGCCGGTGGGTGCGGCAGGGGCCCCAGGAGCAGGGGCAGGGGCACAGCAATGCCCAGGTAGTCTCCCGGGGTGTTTGCAGTTGCTCTTCCGGGACCAGGTCCCTGGGGGAGGGGCTTTGGTCTGTCCTTGCCCACCTGGGCCTTCATGCTGCCTTCCTGCTGCTCAGGTGCCTTGACCTCACAGAAGAGCGCTTTGCCGGGATCTTCATTGATTCCTGGTCTCCACTTCCTGCTTCAAGTTCTCATCGCTGGCCCAGATGGTGGCTGCACCCCCGACGGGGTCAGAGATCCAAGGGCACTTGGGGAAGGGTCAGCGGTGCTGTGCTGCACCTTCGTGTTCGGTCAGGGCCCTTCCACGGGGCAGCAGCACTCTGCTAGGGACCCATCTTCTTTGGCGTTGCCTGCCTCGGCCATGCTTAACTGTGCTGCGGGGCACTGGTCACCCGTAAGTTCAGATACAGCCTTGCAGAAAGGCAGGGTGGGTCTGAGTCGGTTCTAGACTCCCTTCCAGGGTGACCAGTGAACTCTGGCCCGAGCCTGTGCTCATTTCAGTCCATGTGGTGCCACCCTCCACAGGGCGAAGACAGTGGCTGTGCCTTCTTTTTCCCAGGGTTGTGTTTGGGGGCCTTCGGCAGCTCCCTGGGGGCTCTGCACACTCCCCTGCCTGAGGACAGTGGAGCTGGGAGCCAGGCCCAGCACCTTGCTTTGGTGGTTGTCACTTTGGACCATGGCTACTCATTTCTTTGCTCAGAAACCTCACTGATGGCATCATTTTCAGAAACGCTGTGGTTTGGGGAAACAGGCCTTGTTAGTTCTGGTTTTAAGCATTGAGGGAAGCAGGCTGGTCACCATCCTAGGACCCTGGGCACTGGCCGGCCTCGCCCTCCTTCCCACCCAATGTCCATGCAGCACAGGCTCCTCATGGGGGCAGGGGAGCCCCTCCCGTCACCCCCATCTTCTCAATCAGCCCCAGCTAGAGACCTGGGGGAGGGGAGCACAGCCTCAGCCAGCCTCACTGCGGGCTCCCTGGTGGTGTTCTCGGACCATGGGGACACTCCTGGAGGGTTTACTACTCCTGTGAGGTCGGCTGGGCAGCAGGGACAGACGGGGAGAAGGGGCTGTCAGCACAGCATGCGGGCGGGGCGGCCTGGCGGGACCTTGGGCCCTGGGCATGGGAGGCAGGGCCCCGCTGGGAGACACTGGGGAGGTCTGTCTTCCCAGAGCCGGGGTGGCTGGGGGTGGTGGGGCCTGTGTACGGTGTGTGGTTCCCCAGGCCCGGGTGGAGGCTGGAGGTGGTGCCATCTCCATGGATGTGAGGGGGTGAGCTGCCTCCTGCCAGGACTAGACTGAGCCTTGTAAAGGTGACTGTCGGGAAGAAAGAACCTTGGGGCCGTGGTCGTGGAGGAGCCAGAGGGACCCCACAGTCCTGCAGATGGTCGAGAGGGAGGGGAGAAAGTGTCATGGGGCAGTTGGGTTGCTTTCTGGCCCGAGGGGTGTCTCCCGGCCTGGGGAGCCCCTGGAAAAACAGCTTTCCTTGAACTGCCGCCAGCACAGCCCTTTCCACAGTCTCCAAGTCAGGTGGTGGTGGGGGGTGGGGGACAGCAGGGGCTCCGGGGGCTGGCCAGGCCGGCTGTGGTCAAGGGACAGGGGCCTCCTCTCCCAGAGAGAGGGTCCCCCAGAAATGCCTGTAATTACAAGGGGTGGATGCTTGGGCCGGCCAGGGTAGGAGGAGGGAAGTGAGTGGGCAGAGTTTCTGTCCTATTCTGAGGGACGTTTCATGGCCCATCAGTTAAGAGAAAAGCGCAGGGTAATTCCTGGTTTGTCTCTAGGTTTCTTTTTTTTTTTTTTTTTTTTTTTTTTTGTCTCTAGGTTTCTAAGAAGACCGTGTCCTCAGGAAGGCCCAGCCCCACCAGAGCGCCCTGCCGGCTGCATCAGGCAGGGAGGGCGGGGCTGACGCCGAGTAAAGGCTGCCTCTCCCATGGGCTGCTTTGGTGGTTCTCTTTGGGGAGGGGGTGCCTGGAAGGCACCGGTGTGCCCGGCGGGTAACCTCTCGAGGCCAATGTGTATTTTTCTCCTGAGGATCTCGGCTGATGGATGGTTAATGACATCTTCAAAGGCCGCCCTGTTGATGGAGGGGGACTTTGCAGTTTAATGATCTCCCAGGCTGTGTGTTTCTTTGCACAAGTCAAGCTTAGTCGCCTTTGATCCTGAAACACAATGAAAAGTGGGTGGCAGTGGCAGCTTCCGGTGTGGGGGGACCCACCTGTGCCAGCAGCCCTGACGGTGACCCCATTGTGATCTCTGCAGACGCCCAGTGGCCCCACTTCACCAGATCACAAATGCAGCTCCTGGCCACCCTGGAGGTTTGGGGGAGGGGGTCCCCCATCCGGCATGAGGATGCACGGAGATGGGGCTGCCCGGACCCCTGCCCAGTGTGGGTGTCGTCCTCACCTGGGCTCCTGCCTGGACGTTTGTCACCTGTTGGGGGGACCAGACTGTGCTGTCACAGCTGCTTTCCCATTTGAGAGATGAAAAGGCAGAAGGGAAATGGTTCTGCAGGAATGAATTTGTGTGACAGGTTAGCACCCACGCAACCTTTCTTTTAGTCACTTGGAACCTGCTGTCCTCAGTCAGATGTGATGGCCATGGCCTCGCCCACCTAGGGTGGGGGCAGTGGCGGTGAGGATGGGTGGGGCTCCATCAGTTCCCTGCATCCATGGGGAGTGGTATCACCCTCATCCACTGCCCTGAGGTGCCCCCAGGTGGGTCTCTCTTCTAGAACACACTTCCCAGACCCGGTGCAGTGTCTTCTGGAGCCCTGGCCAAGGAAGGGGCTGCCACACAGGGTCAGGCAGAAACCCTGTCCTCATATGCCTGTTGGGGCGGTGTTTGCTCCAGCCTCCAGCCTCCAGCCTGAGCCCTCTCCCTGTCAGGAGTGTGGTTGTGGTTGGGGCCGGAGTGGGTGGTCGGGCCTAGGCGAGCAAGGAGACCTGTTGCTATCAGAGTCTGGGCGCCTCAGGGCACCTCACTCCAGGTGCCAGCCTGCTGTCAGGGTGAGTGCTATGGTGGGGCCCCCGACCCACAAGGCCTCAGGCCTCATGGGATCCCCTCCTCAGGCCTTTTGGAGACAGGCCTTCCCTGTGGTGACACCTGGATCACAGACATCTGCCCTCCAGGACTGAGAGAGGGTACATGTTGGCTGAGCTGAGAGCAGCTGACCTTGGCAGGACATGTCTTCAGCCCCTCCGCCTCATGCCCAAGGTCGTCCTGGGCCCCAGGAGCCAGATGGTGGGCCCAGGGCCTGGATGGGCAGTGGCAGTGCAAGGAGGGGCCATCACCCATGTCCACCCTGTCCCAGTGCCTTGTCCCACCTCCCCCAGGCTTCCCATGTGCCCCCACTTGGGGCCAGGGCGGTCATCCACGGATGACCATGGCTTACAGTCCTGCCATGGCACTGGGCGGGCGGGGTGCACACAGGACTGGCCTGGGGTTCTGACCCATCTGTGCTGGGCCAGCGCCGGGAGCCTGGGGCCGCTGCTGAGCCAGCGGGAGGCTATTTGGGTTTCTCTGCACGTCTCTACTGGAGTTTCTTAGATGTGAATGGAAAAGACTTGGGTTCCTGTTGCACGTCACACAGCAGGGCAAGATGGTCTCTCACGGAATCTCTTTCCACTCAATTCTTATTTGCATCACTGTCATATGTGTGCAAATTTTAAAGGAACTAATGAAAGAATTTATCTCCTTGTTCCTGAAGGACCCACTTATTCTGCTGTCCCTTGTTTCATGGGTTTTCAGTTTAGGCATAATTCACAGACTCCTCTGTGGAAAAAATGTTGCAATCTTATAATCTGTATTTCTTGGCCACACGTGCACACAAGCATAAGGTTTGGCTACATCAAGATTCAGTGTTATAGTAGATATTGCAGCTTATCCATGTGGGTAATTATAAATATATTTTACTTCTGTTCAGCTCTGTTCTCTGCAGAGCTGACTGGCCTCAGTCTGTGGCTGCTTTATATGTATACTAGAGGCCTGGTGCATGAAAATTCATGCACTGGAGCGGGGTCCCTCAGGCTGGCCTGTCCCCTCTCACAGTCCGGGAGCCCTCAGGGGCAGGAGGCGACCCGGTGATCAGGGGAAGGCGACCCCCCATCACACCTCTGCTGCTGCCACTGCCGGCAGCGCAAGCCTCGGGCGGCCCTGGTTACCTGCCTTGGGCTGTCCTGGGCGGCAGGGGGGCTGAGGGGACTGGGGAACTCCAGAGGCAGGCGTGCGCGCAGGGTGGCCAGGCCTGCCTGGGGGTAGGCCCAGCCTTGCCGTGCACCTGCCGCCCTGGTGGGGCTGAGGGGACTGGGTGCACCATCTTGTGGCTGTGGGCGCCACCATCTTTGAGGGCGTGGCAGTCAATTAACATATTCCCTCCTTATTGGCTGTCGGCGCCACCATCTTTGCAACAGTGTGAGAGTCAATTAGCATATCCCCTCTTTATTAGATAGGATATATGCTTTATTTCCCACCAGAGAATATTTTTCCATTGGTTTTTAGGGAGAGTGGAAGAGAGAGGGAAGACAGAGAGAAACATTGATGTGAGAGAAACACATCGATTGGTTGCCTCCCACCCGAGCCCTGACCAGGGCCTGGGCTGGGGAGGAGCCTGCAACCCAGGTACATGCCCTTGGCCGGAATCGAACCCAGGACCCTTTGGTCCACAGACTGGTGCTCTATCCACTGAGCCAAACCGGCCAGGGCAGTTTTTATATTTTTATCCCTTGTTTGTCCCCAGCCCTCTAAGGGAAGTTGAACTCTCTCATGTCGGCAGCACATGAGGTATTTGTTTCAGTCTGTGATCAGCGTGCGAACCAACTTCTCCAAAGCACAGTGGCTTAAAGCTGCTTTGTTATCTCTCATGATTCTTTTTCTTTTCATTGATTTCTGAGAGGAAGGGAGAGGGGGAGAGAGAGAGAGAAACATCAATGATGAGAGAGAATCATGGATCGGCTGCCTCCTGCATGCCCCACAACCCTGGCCTAGGCCCTGACTGGGAACCCACTTGTGACCACCTGGTTCCTAGGTCGATTATGCTCAACACCGATGACGCGCCACACCGGCTGGGTTCTCATGATTGTCCCCTGGCTCCTCCCCTGCCTGAGGCCTCGGCCGGGCACTGGGACAGGTCAGATAGAGTGGCCATCCGCCCCCGACAGGCACTCACACGCTGTCACCCTCTCTCACTCACACGCAGGGCCCTCCACCCGGCTGGATGGGCTTCTGCCCTGCATGAGGCCTCAGGACAGTCGGTGCTGTCATCTTGGGGCCATCTTGGGGCCGGGCCAGGGCCCTGCACAGATCACTTCTGCCTCTTGTGTTGGGGAAGCCTCAGGGGTGGGCGGGGAGACTCCTCCCCTCCTGGGGGGCAGGGCAGGGGATCTGTGGCCCTTCCTGTTCCTGGAGGCTGACCCTGTGGACTCCAGGCTGATCTCGCCTGGCCTCTCCCTCCCCTGGCCTCTCCCCCTCTTTCCTGTTTCCTGGGCCCCTGCTCCTCTCTGTCCCTCCAGGCACCTCCTGGGTCACACGTGGCATTGCAGACCTGCCATGCCTCCTCCACCGGCTGGCTAGCAGGGGTGGGGAATGCTTTTCCTTTTCTGAAGGCCAGGCTGCTTTTCGGAGGGTGGGGTGTGGGGAGGGGGGTAGTCCCTGAGACAACTGGGCGAAGTGCCTGTTTGTCCCTGTGGCCAGGCCTGCCCGCTCTGGGATGGCCTTCCAGAGGCCAGTGGTCAGATGGGAGGTGAGGACACAGTGGAAAGCAGGGCTGAAGCCCATGGTCCCTGGAAAAGGATTTTCTATTTGAGGGTGTGCCCCTCCCCTACCCAGGGAGTTTCCCCAGGCCAGGAGGGTGAGCCTGGAGGGGGAGTGACTCTATAGGACATGGCAGTCACAAGCCCCCTGACAGTCACACACTAGGGTCCTTCTGAACCATGAACCAGGGCCAGGTGCACAGCCATTAGCTCCCCCAAACCCCGGCCATGAGCAGCCGAAGGACCTAGAACAGCAGTGTCCTCTCAGCACCTGGTGTCTGGCCAGGGCTGCGAGCTTTAGGGTGAGTCCTGAGGGCTGAGCCCTCGAGGCCTCATCAGCCTGCATCTTCCCCCAGACAGTTCAGGGCCCCTGGTAGTGGGAGGGGCTCAGGGGTCCCTGCCCAGGGCAGGAGCAGCAGGCACTGTGTGGCCCAGTGGCTGAGGGCACACAGGGAGGTGGGACTCTGAGATGGTGAGGGCCCGTGGGAGCTGGGGGGCTGGGGAGAGGCTGAGAAGATGCCCAGTAGACGCTCAGGCCTGGTGCTTGGACCCCAAGGGACCTGTGCCATACATACTTGGCCCCTGGTAACCTCTGCCCCTTTCTGCTTCTCACAAGGTCACCGACGATGAGGGCATGGCTGTTCTCCTGGAGCTTCCGACTTCGGGGGTGTCCTCCATGCCCCCCATTCCGTCCGAGGGGCCCTGCGTGCCTTCTGGCCGGCTGCGTGCAGAACCACGCCAGGCCCGCGGTGGTCAGCCTGGCGCCGGGCTTCCTGGGAGGAGCAGGTGTGTCTGGCTGTAAGGACAGAACCACAGGAGCGCCGCGGGGCCTGGCGGCTGAATGTATTTATTCTCCTGGCACGGACGTTCGCTTTTCTGGCTGTGGAGCAGCGGGAGCCCGGGTCCCCCTCACCCCCTGCGGCCTCATCCCTCCTGGGCAAGGCTGTCAGCTCAGGGCCACCCTGCAGGCTCCAGGACACCAATTGCACGTGTGGGTCCTTCAAGCCCTCGCAGGGTCTCTGTGCACTAGAGGGGCGGACGCCCACCCTCCTCCTCCCCGCTCCCCCGGAGCTTGGGTCCCACCTGGCGCCCAGCACAGGCTCCAGGGCCCCCGCCCCCGAGATGCCAGGAGGTCCCCGTATGTGTGAGGCTATGAGGGCTGTCACTTTGATAACAGACTTGACCACAGAAAGGACAACACGTCGCTCTGCTGTTTGTAAGGGTGTGTTCCTTTCCCTCTTTTGTCACTTTAAAGACCAAAAAGAAATAAGGAAGAAAAAAAAATGAGTTTTGCTCTTTCTTTGTTCAGCGTTATTGAGAAGAGAGGGAGCTGTGTGTCCACTGGTACCTGTGCCCCCCGAGCTCGGCTGCCCTGTTGAAGGGACCCCGCCCATGTTGAGATCTGCCCCCCAAGAGACGGCCACCTGTTCCCAGCGCTGCTGCTCAGGGCGGCAGTGGGTTCCGCCTCCCTCGGGCCCTGTAGGTGACACCGACGTCCCCAGTGGGGCAACATCTCTGCAAACGGGTCAGTTCTGCTGCGGTTTCTCCCAGGGGGACCCTCATCTCCTGTTTCCTCTGGGTCCCCTCTCCAGGGAGCCCCCTTCCTGTCCCTGCCTTGTGGTCTCAGCAGAGCCAAGGCCCCGATGAGGGGCAGGTGGCCTGGCCTCCGAGTGCCAGGGCCCACCTTGAGGGGAGAAGTGGCTGCCCCACGGGTGTCACCTGGGTCTGGGGAAGTACGAGGCAGAGAGAGACAGGGCGTTCTTCGTAAGCTGGGCATTGCCCCCTGGAGAAACATGTCTTAAATGGAGTGACCTCGGCTCAGGTTCCCGGAGATGGTCAGCCACGTGCAGCTCTGGCCTGGACACTTTTACTCCTGAGCACCCAGCCGGGGTCTCCGAGCTCAGGTGCAAGGACAGAGACCCGTACAGGGGCTTTGGATTCAGCAGCATCATCTCAAGCTCCAGGGTTGGGCGAGGCCCTACGGGAGACACACACAGGCCCTGCCCCGGGCCACCCCCTCCTAAGGGCCAGCTGAGGTCCAGCAGTTGAAGCCCAGCCCCAAAATGACCCTCAGACCTGTAGGCTCCTGGTCTCTCGGCTGTCTAGTCCCTGATGGCCCAATGCTGTCCAGTCCTGCTGGGTGCCATCCCGCTCTGGGCCTGGGTCCTCTGCTGTGCCCACAGCCACCCCCTAGCTCAGGTGCCCAGGATGGGGTGCCTCTCTCAGGGCTGCCCTCCCTAAAGCCCTCTCAGCCCGTTTGAGGGGCTGGATGGAGCTGAGTCCTGGCTGCTCCCACTGGAGCTGGCCAGTTCTCCACCCCCACCCTACCCAGCCAGGGACGCTGGCCCCTGGGTGTGCTGGGACAGACAGCAGTTGTAATTAAAAGGGAAGGCGGCTTTGTGTGTTTTTAAGGCTTTGTGACTGTTTCTTTAGGCAGCAAATTAATCATGTTTTCATGTCAGTTTGATTTCATGGTGCTCACACCCTGCTTGGCTGTGTGGTCGTCATTCATCCCGGGATCTGGGAGGTGAGCAAGACCCCATACCTGGGCTGGTGCCCCTCCTTCCTGGATGACATCCGGGTGCCATGGTGACATCGGCACTCTGCCCCTTCCCCTACCCAGCCAGCCCTCCAGAGAGGGCCCCGCACAATGGTGTGGGAAGTGGGTGCACTTCCCTGGGGGCGAGGGCACTTGGGAACACCTCCTCCCTGGGACAGGCTTGGGGGAGGGAAGCCATGCCAGCCTGTGAGGCCTTGCTGGGCCCTGGGTCGGTGACGGTGACGCTGTCACCAAGGCCGGCCTCCCTCCCTGCCCCGCCCGCTGGAGGAGGCATCCTGGCAGCCCCAGCCGATTTATTTTTAGCCCTGCCTGATGCCAAGATTGGCCTTCTCACCTCAGATCAGAAATCGGAGGATGAGGCCCTCAGGCCTCTGATGGCAGGGCAGCCAGTCTGAAGAGCAGGACGCTGGCTTCAGGCCGCTGGTCCTGCTGCCTTTCTTCCTTCCACCCCCTCCCCCCGCCCCCAGCCCCACTCCCACCTCCAGGACTCGGGCTGCCCCTCCCCACCCCACCAGAGCAGCTGAGAGGCCCTCGGTAGGGTGGCCTTCAGAGGCCCAGCACACCCCGCTCCCGTCGCCCCTGCAGTGAGTCCTGAGCCAGGACCACTGTCCCCAAGTCCTGCAGTCCTCCCAGGGCCCCCTTGGCGGTCTCGGGGTATTTTTTACATAATTAATGAACTTTAAAAAATTAACAGGCTTTCTATTTTAGAGCAGGAGCGCTGGGCAGCCGCAGAGCTCCCCGCCCTGGGGAACAGTGTCCCGTGCACCCCGCGCTGCGTGGTGCGGGCGCCGCTGTCCGTGAGCCCATGCTGCCGTGTGGTCACTAATGAGCGCCCACAGTTCGCATCGGGTTCCCCCTTTGTGTCGCCGTAGGTCCTAGGGGTTTCGACAAATGTGCGATGACGTGTCTCGGCCACCTCAGCATCACAGGCTGAGCGTCACTGCCCTGGACACCCCCGGACACCGGCTCATTGATGTTCTGAGTGAGCAAAGACACGGGGGATTGCGAAGGACACCAGTTATCTATCATAATAAAAGGGTAATATGCTAATTAGACCGAATGTCCTTCCAGGCGTCATTCCGGACGCCCTTCTGGACGAAGCCGGGGCAGGAGCAAAGCCCAGGTCCTGGGTGCCTAGCGGCAGCCGCTGGAGGGAAGCAGCCCGGTGGCTGGAGCGAAGCCTGGGTCCCGGGTGCCAGAGGGAAGCTGGTGCCAGCAGCCTGGGGAAGGAAGGCCTACTTTTGCACGAATTTCCGTGCATCAGGCCTCTAGTTTGGGAATAATTATCAAAGTATCACGAAGCAGATGTGTGAAGGGGTGATGGTGGGCTCCTCCCCACTCCCGTGGTTGGCGGGGGGTGAGTGGAAGTCTGGGGAGTCCCCGGTGGTACAGGAGGTGGGCCACCTGCATTGCCCACGGGAGGAAATGCCACTTGGCCCTGAGAGGTCCGTCTCTCTGAAAGGGGCCATTGTTTCCTGTGCAGGTTCCTGGACTCCCTGGGTAGGGACCCCTGTTCTAGAAAACAGGCCGAAAGCTGGTGCATCAGAAGAGCGTACCAGTAGGAGTAGAAAGTGTGTTTCCCAAACCAGAGGTGTTGTGGAACCCTCCACGGGCACAGGCAGCCAAGCGGCTCTCAGATACTCCCTGTGCTCGGCCCGCCTCAGTGAATTCACGTCTCACTGACAGGAGACCGTTAGCGGGATTGATGCCCATCCTCATGACAGCACCGGGCTGGCATTCCAGTGACTCCCTGTGACCCTGAGGGCTGGGAGAGGCCTCAGAGCTGCCAGCGGCCGGGGCCCCAGTGTCCAGCGTGTCGCCAGCGTGTTCCTTATCACTGGCAGCACAGCTCACGACTCCTCGAGCGCCCTGGTGCGGCGTCACAGTGCTATGCAAACTCTGCTGTGCTCCAACAAGTGTGCAGAGCACGTGCGGCTGCCCCAGTCCAGGCCCCTCTGGGAATCCCTCTCCCTCCCCCTCACACCCCTCCCCCCACAGGCGCTGTGCCTAGCCTCTGGCTCCCCCTCCCCTGCTTGGTGCACACATCCCATTTTCTGCCCCACTTGTTCTGACCTCCTTCCTCCAGGCCCACAGATGCCCTCCCTGCCCCCTGGATCGCAGAGCTCACAGCAGGCACCCTGTCCCTGGCAGTCCCTCCCGGAGTCCCTCCTGCAAGTGGGACACAGGATTTCCAGGCCAGCCCGTCTCACAGAGGGGCAGGGAGGCTCGGAGGGCCACACGGATTCTACGCAGAAGCCCTTCTGCAGCCCTGAGCCACGCTGCCCAGATGGCGTGGTCCAGCACAGTGTCGGGCATCGGGGGCAGCGACTTGGAGGATAAATGTGCTGCAGACACTGCTCTGTGCTGGTCTCCGGCACTTCGGTGGAGAGTGATTAAGGTAGACTGGTCAGACCTCGGGCCCGCGGCCCACCTGGAGGCAGGACTGTGCAGTGGCAGGCGTGGCAGCCCTGCAGGCACTCCGAGGCCGAGCATTCGCCTTCACCCCTGCAGCCAGTGAACCATCGCTTCCCCCTGCACCTTCAGGGCACGGCCTGGCCTCTCTCACCCTCCAGGCCCTGTCTGGCCTCTGTCAGCATGTGGACACCTGGATCCACACCCACGGGTGCTTGGGGGCGGAGGGGGACTGGCTGCCAATGCAGGGTCTTGGAAGTGGTCCCTCATGTGGCCGTAGTAGAGGCTCAGGTCTTGACCCTGAAGTCCCTGTCCCCACCCTTGTACCAGGCGGGCGAGCAGGACTCCAGCCCTGCCCTTGTCCTCTGCTCTCTCAGCTCTGACTTCAGGACAGCAGGCATCTCAGGAAGGGGCCGGCTGACCTGTCCCCAGTCCCCTGATGCCGGCCCCCTCGGCGCACCAGGCACCTCTGCACCCAGCTGTGCCCAACTGCAGCCCAAGTCCCAGGCAGGCTCTGCGGGCTTGTCCGGCACATGCTGGAGGCCCCTGAGACTCCAATGCCAGGATGGTGAAGGCGTTTCCTAGGAAACCACAGCCAGCTGCCAGCAGCCTGTCTGTGGGGGGTGGGGTGTGGCTGAAGCTGGCGTAGGCAGGAGACACCCGGGGGAAGGTGTGTGTCGCTGTCTGTGCCTGTGTGGCAGTGGGGGATGTGCCAGTGGTGTGTCTGTGAGGGGTCTGTGTGTGTGTGTGTGTGTGGGGGGGGGGTTCTCCTCATGCCTGGGAGTTCAGCATGGCCGGTCTCGCCTCCCAGCACCAATCCTACAGTGTCAGTCAGTGGGCAAGGCTCGCTCACCACTCCCCGCCCACCCCTGGCAGAGGCCTGAACCTTCCTGCAAACTCCCCGATGCCAAACAACAGTGGGCCAGCCGGCAGCGGTCACTGGGGCGGGCAGGCCTGGGCCAGAGGGTGAGGCCGCAGTGGGCTCCCAGCGGGAAGTGAGGCTGCCTCCATTTGGGGTGTCCTTGAAGCCCACTGCCCTCAGCTTCCTGTGAGCCTCCCTGTCCCTGCCCTGCCTACTCCTGTGAAGCAGGAGTGAGCCGTCTTGGTGACCCCACAGGGGGACCACGCCCCGGCCTCCTGGCCGAGGAGGAGCTGGCTCCCATCCAAACATTTCCTGGCTTTAGTCCTGCAGATCTGGGAGATGAAGGGCTCCGGGTCACAGTGGGGTCACCGGCTGAACTGTGAGTGGGTGGGTGGGGGTGCAGGTCACACTGGAGGCCCCCTCGGCCCTCCTCCACCTCCCCTCCATCTGTGTGTAAATTATTGGGCAGCGTAAGGTGCCCCTCACTGCCCGGAAGCTTGAGACCCAGCGAGGAGGCGAGACCAGAGCGACCTGCCCCGTGGGCCCCCTCAGATCCTGGACCAACCTGCACTGGGGTCTGTGGGTGTGCAGGGCTCGTCTGGGAGACCCAGGAGCTCTGGGGGCCCCTCCCCCGGCCTCTGCCAAGGCTCAGGTGGGGTCGGGACACAGCAGGGTTGTGGGGGTGCCCGGCTTCCATGAGCCATCAAGGACAGAATCATCCTCAGCGCATGCCCTTTCCAGTCCTGGGACCATCCACAGAGGCTCAGCGACCCCCAGCCTCCTGGGGCCCCAGCAGAGGGGCCGGCATTGCTTGTGGGGAGCCCGTTGTCTCTCCTGGGGGCGCTATGCAGCCCAAGGCAGGGCACAGTCTCACGTTGCCTGGGAACCTGGGAGGCAATGAGCACCCCCCAAGCCTACCCCTCCCTCCTTCCCTCCCTTCCTCCCATGTGGACCCAGGAGCAGCCTGTGGACGCAGTCAGTCCTGGAGAGAGAGATGCATGTGGGTCCCGTGTATAGGCTTTTGTCTTTGCTGATTGGGATATGTCTGCTCTAGAGGCAGATACAAGAATTCCAGCATGCAGAACTCACACTTAACATTTCAAATAAGCGTGTTTTCTCCTTTAAGTTAACATTGGGTAAAGACAAACAAGATGGCAACCCCATGCTGACTAGAAAGAATAAGGAAGGTGGAGTCTTCACTAGCAGAGCCTCCACCTGGGGAGAGAGAGGGAGGCAGCTGGGCCTGGTGGCCAAGCAGTGGGGGAGGGGTCCTCACGTCTGCAGGCCTGGGGGCAGGGAGGCTGTGTGCTGGACCGGAGCTGACTGAGCCCTGAGCCACCGCCCGGGGTGGGGTGTGGCAGCCCTGAGGATGGGCCCTGGGAGGTGTGGCCAGAGGGTCTAGCTGCCTAGCAGCTCCCCCGGAAAGGCCCCAGGTGGAGATACTAGATAAGCTGCTGGGACTGGTACAGCCAGCCAGGCCTCCAGGGGACAGACAGCCCACAGCTCCAGGCAGCCATGCGTTCCCTCTGGGACTCACGGCAGGGCCCACCTCCTTCTCTCACTGCCACCCTTCCTGCCACCCAGCCCCCACCGAATGGGCTCACAAGTGGGGGTGGCCCTGGCCCTGGTCAGCCTGGGAGTCCAGGCAGTCGAGTGAAGGTGGGCACCAGGGCAAGGCAGGCAGGGGGAGGGGGGACCCCCAGGTCCTGATCCCCTCCCCAGGAAGGAGGCTGGCTGGGGTCGGGGGTCGGGGGTCGGGGGTCGGGGGGTTGGGGGGTGGCAGTGGGCAGGGCCCCACACTTGGCCAAATGCTGAGAAAGCCTGGGATGCAGAGCCTTCTGGAAACAAGGAGGCCTGGGGAGGGCCCCCGACTGGCAGGCTGGGGTGGCCTCAGCTCCCTGCTGACTCACAGGCGAGAGAGACAGGCAGACTGGAGGGGTGCAGAGGAAGTGCAGGGGAGGAGCTGGGGGGCAGGGGAGGGAAGGAAGGGGAGGAGGGAGTGCCAAGGCAGGGGGAGGGGAGAAGGAGAGGAGGGGCCTGAGGCCAGGGGAGGACTGAGCTGGCGTCAAGAGCCTCCCTGAGCCAGGCCTCTGCGGCTCTCCCAGGTCCTGGGCGCTGGCCAGTCGTGGTCACAGGAGCCAGCAGGCAGGGAGGCCCCTGTGGGAGGACAGGAGCTGAAGAGCATCTGGGGAGGGGACAAGTGGGGGGGGTGGGGTCCCGAGGAGAGTCAGAGGGAGCCCCCACCACCCAGCGCCCAGTCCTGCTTAGGGAAGCTGCGGAGAGGGCTTTCTCCTTGGGATTTGGAGCAGCGGGTTAGCCAGGTCCTGGGCTTGCCAGCTGGCCTGGGGCCTGAGGCACTGGGCAGTGGGGGTCCCCGTCTACAGAGTGCTGTCTGGCAGTGCTGTGGGCGAGGGGCCCTCGGATAGCAGGTGGGGACCCAGAGGGCGCTGAGGAAACTGAGCTGGCCCCCTACCTCCTGGGGTGGGAGGGAGGAGGCTGGCAGGGCCTGGGTGGGTGGAGAGCGGGGGGGGGGGGGGGGGGGAGGGGTGCGTGTGGTCATGTAGTGAGTGAGTGTGAGTGGCTAGTGTGAGCTGGGGAGCCCAGGGCGGGAGCACAGCGGGAGACAGAGCCTATGGTCTCGTGCCCGGCCCTCCTCCCCAGCCCTCCTCCCGGACCACCCTGGGGCCCAGGGCACCAGGTAACTGGCACCTATTCTGCGGCTCCGGCCCTTACACAGACTCAGGCAAGAGCCTCGACCAGGAGAAACCTTCTCTTCTCCGTGAGGGCCCCACCTTCTTCCCCCTCCACCCCCACCCCGCACCCCTGGGCGAGGCCGGTGATGTGGGCGGCTGGAAAAGCCGGTTCTGTGGGGCCCTGTCCCCGGCTGGCCTGTGCTAACAGGTGGATCTTAGGGTTCAGGAATGCGGAGATGAGAGTTTCCCCTGCCCCTGCCCCTGGGGAAGGCCCAGGGTGTTCTGGGCTCCGTGAGGGGCAGCTAGGAGCTGGGGAAGGCTGGTGCTGGACCGAGGGAGGCCTTCCCCAGCAACTCACAGGGGCCTCCTGTGAGGACTCCAGCCCCTGGGTAAGCCAGGAGCCAAAGGGCTGCCCCCCACCCCCCCCACCCCGTGTCTGGAAGGCTAATGGCCACCCGCAGCCCAGGCAGGAAACACATTGCCTGTCCAATGCCTTAGTTAAATACAATGCAGTGACAGCCCTCTGCTCAGACACAGGGGGACCTGCTAGCACCAGCCCACGGCCCGCCCAGCCGAGTCGCAGGGCAGTCACTGGACACAGGGATGTGCACAGAGCCCAGCTCAGGGTGCTGGGCAGTGGGAACTGTTTGACCACAGGAAGGAAGGAGAACTGCTGAGAAGCAGAATGAGGCCGGAGTCCCAGGTTCAGCTCCTGCAGGGGCGCCCTCTGCCGGCCCCGCCTGCCCCAAAGGCCCCCCTCCCCCCCTTCCCCCGCCCCACCAGCTCTTCTGGGAGACTGTGGCTTTGTCTTGTGCTGCCAGTTTTAAAAAATAAATTATATATTCTGCCCGCCGATGTGCGACAGTGGTTGAGCATCGACCTGTAAACCAGGAGATCACAGTTAAATTCCCGGTCAGGGCACAGTCCTGGGCTGTGGGCTCAGTCCCTGGTAGGGGGTGTGCAGGGGGCAGCAGATCCATGAGTCTCTCTCATCACTTTCTATCTCTTTCTCCCTCTCCTTTCCTCTCTGAAATCAATAAAAAATATATTTAAAAAATAAATGAAATAAAATAAATTGTACATTTTATTGAAATAGAGTATTATACAAGCTGCTCACCACAGAAGACTGAAAATACAAAGCGAAGCCTCCACCTGGGGAGAAGTGGAGACGAGCACAAGGATGGAGGGTCGGGATGGACGGCAGGGAGCCTTCTGCGTGCCCTCCAGGAATTCCCTTCTCCCGCCCGGCACATGGGAGGCCCCCAGGAGCAGTGCGGTGGGTGCCTGTGAGGTGGGCGCCTGCCCAGTGTCACCTCGAGGACCTGCCTCCACACAGGATGGGTCAGCACCAAAAGGCCTCAGATCCCGTGAAGACCCAGATGTGGGGCGAGATGGGTGCAGGTGAGGACAGGTGGGCTCAGCCAGGGAGAAGGTGGGGGTGCTGGGACTGCAGCCGGGGGCACAGACTCCGCCACGGGACACACCCCACACCTGTGTGTCACCCGTGGACCAGGAGGGCTGTCAGCCCCACAGCGCGAATCCTCTTTAAACTGGGCTGTGCCTCAGCCCCTAAAAGATCCAGTCTTTCTAAATGCATTATGTTGGGTGCTGCCCATGAAGCATTCATGTGTGAGTTTACTGACCCAGCCAGGTGAGTGGGCCACAGACTGGCCTTGCCCTGGTGCCAGTAGGGTGCTGGGCAGGGGCAGGTGTGTTCAGGAGGTAAGGAGGAGAGCCTCACCCGAAGCAGGGACCTTCCCCATAGGCTGTTCCCCAGTTGTCCCGTCCCAACCCATGTCTACCTTGGTGCCTGAGGTCGGTGATGTGGGTTAAAGATGCCCAGCCTCTCCCTCATGACCTGGCTGGGGTCACTGGGGGTGGGGGGCATGGCCCGTACCTTCCTCAGGTCCCTACCTGCACCCAGAGGCACCCCACCACCACCAGGGGTGCTGGCCAGTCAAGCCTCTCCCTGTGGGCCCTGGACAGAGGGAAGGCTCTGACCGTTAGGGGCCACGTTAAGGGAGGTCCCGGTCTGCTGGGCAGGAAGGGGTGGCCCCACCAGAGCGGCACTTGGGCCTTCCTGCGGATGTCCAGGCAAGGCCTTTGGTGAAGGGATAGTGGGGCCCAGGGCCGGTCACCCTGGTGCCACTGAGATAGTTACCTCATGGCACCCTGGATCTGGAGTGCAGACCCACTCCTCTTCTGTCCCCTGCCCCCCTTTTCCCTGAACCTCCTCGGCCCCCTCCCCAGACAGTGGCTGTGAAGCCGAATGGCCGCCAGGGCCCAGGAGGCAGAGCCGAGCATGTCCAGCTGAGCCCAGCCTTGGGGCTCATTGGCCACTGGATCTGGGCCTGGGCCTGGGCCCACCCTTACTTCTGAGCCCCTCACCTGCCCGCCAGCCCCCACAAGGCCAGGGAGAGGAGCTCACAATGCCTTTAGGGGGAACATTGTTCCCAGAGACGGTCCTGAGGGGCCTCCAGTGCCCAGGGGAGGGCTGGACACATGCTTCGCTCAGGGCCAATGCAGGGACGGGGTGTGAGAAGGAGGGGAGGGGAGGCCTGGGAAAAATAGGGCTCCGGTCTTGCCCCAGGGTGTGCTGGGACCCCATGGAGTTGGTGTCACACATGGGGGACATGGTGAGTTGGGGGACATTGGCAGAAAACCATGAGCCCAGAGGGTCAGCAAAGAGAGGATGGCCTGAAGGCCCAGCAGCGTGTGTCCTGGGGCCCTCAGAGTGGTCCCCAGACTGCCTGGTCCCTGGAAGAGGTTATGAGCCATCATCAGAGCCCACTCTGGGGCCCTCTGCTGCCCGCCCAGCTCTCAGCACCTGGCCCTGCCTTCTCTGGTGGTTCACACCGCCAGGGAGGGGTGTGGGCGCCCTCTGCTGGCTGCATTGCAGAAGACAGACAGCCAAGCTGCAGCGTCTCAGGCACATGCCGCCCCCAGGCACCCGCATTGCACCCATGCCCCTGCTGCACCCAGAGCACCCACGCTGTCCCCAGGTCCACACCTTTCACAGCCCCCCCTGCAGGCACGGTACAGGCTTCCTGGCCCCATTAGGCTTGGTCCCCACGACGGAGGCCTGACCCTCCATCCTTGGGGAGTTGGCTTAGGCCTTGTCAGGGCCACTGCTCTGAAGGCTGGGCTTGATCTAAGACCCTTACTGTTTCCAGCACCCCCAGGACTGGGGCCCCCAAGGCATGGCTGCCCAGAGCTCAAGTGCCACCTGTGGGTTGGTCCTCCCGGAGCTCAGGAGCCAGAAGGGTCCCAGGAAGGAGGGGGCCTGAAATGCCAGACTCCACTTGGCCACTTCCAAGCAGCTAGTCCTCGGCCGAGTGATGATGTACGGCTCCATGCCTCAGTTTCCCCTTCTGAACCCAGGGAGCATAGGAGCCCCTCCTAGAGTGTGTGCATGAGTCCAGCTGTACCAGGTTCCGCAGACAGCAGAGCCCTGTGTGCATCTCAAGGGCCACCTGGGTCCCCGCTTTCACACTGTACCCCTTTAGGGACAAGTAAGCGAGAGCCAGCCCTAAGCTCCTCGCACAGGGACTTCTGAGGGCAGGGCCTCTGGCTGGGATTGAGGCTCCCTCCAGCCACTGGCCAGGCTGCACCCCCAGAGTCCGGGGAGGGTCTTTAGCATGCAGGTGGGCTGGGGGGTTGGGGGAGCTCAAGTCACTCCTTCCCTGCGGAGAGCTTACCCCATCGGGGAGGGTGCTCCCTTGGCTCAGTCTGAGGGGCCGGCCTCCCAGCCAGGTCTGATTCACCTTCAGACGGGGTGTCCTGTGCAGCCCAGGGCCAGGGAGGGACGAGGAACACCGTGGAAGGAGCCGAGATGCTAGGAGGATGGCAACGTGGCCTCTGTGCCTGGGTCCCACTCAGGCCTCTTCACTGTGGCCTCGCTGGGCAGGCTCAGCCTCCCTGGCCCTGGCAGACATGCGGGATGATTCGGCCTTCTCAGCATGTCCTGGCCTCAGAGCGCTGATAATGTGGCCTGTCCTGTGGGGCCTGTCAGGGGACACCCCAACCTCTCCAGTTCTCAGAGCTC